ATTATTTTCCACCTTTGTGTCAAGCGGCGCATCGGCGGGGGCTCTGTGGGTGTATAAGCGATTTCGCGATTGCCGKCATGCCCGCGTGCTGCCATTAACTTGTCTATATGTTTGCACAAACACAAGAACGTTTGCATGAACTACTGTCAATTTGACTGGCGCCTTCCACTTCATTTCGCCATCTGTCACACATTCCTACATACATACATATAAATATGCGCGGACKCATGCTTGCTGCGAATACTGCCTGGCATTCACTCATACTTGCGCTCACACTTAATCAACAGGCATAAATACATTATGCAAATTTAATATGAATTGCAAAAGTCTCACTCGTCATGCCAGCGTTGACTGTTGTTGTGCATTTTGCCATCGCGCTGCCGCAGCTGCAACGCATGCCAACGCATTCGCCTAGATGGGCAGCTTGTGGCTCGCGAGAGCACACGCAGCGCACCAACACATCGACTGCTGACTGCTATAGGCGGAATTCTGATGGAATTCGTCATTTGTGGGTGCTGGCTGGGGCAATTCGGTTAGCTGGGCCAGCGAAATGCTAGTGGCTTTAATAATTCGTGTTACGTATACGCCATGCTGTCATTGTGAATTAATGTGCGCTGGYGTAGAAACACTACACACCCCTCTGTAAGTTCATGCGCTTACATATAATGTCGTATAAAAGCATTATATTAGCGAGTGTATACGCAAGTTATAAGAAATATAATTTTTTTTACTGATCCTTTATAGTTGCAGACAACGATTCAATTTCAAACAGATACTTATCTATTTGTGTGTTAGATGAAATTACTGAAGAATGAAGTATCGGATGGAGTTAATGTTCAACGCTAAGTAAAAATAAAAAAGTTGAAGTTTGATTATAAATAYGAAAATACTTTTCGACTATCCAAGAACTGACTTGAAAAACTGATTCAAGAAAAAGTATTGTGACGGAAATTTTTAGTTTTTGAAAAACCTTAATTCYCCACGTGCTTTATTTAATGATGCCAATCAACTGATAATACTTCACTACAGCCTCATGCCCTAAGGAAAGCATTTAGTAAAAAATTTTGTGTATTCACGGTATAAGATCTGTACTTATGTCCGCATACAAGAGCAGATGGGGCCTAGTCAGACAGGCTTTCTCCCAAACAAACGTGATGGGAAGATGTAGGTTTTAGTTTCCATTTTATTGTTGGATTAATGCAGTGGTAGCCGTTAGATCTTTGTTGGATTTTTGCTTAATTTCAGTCATATTTTCCGTTTAACGTCTCCCACGGGGCCTATTTAAGCGCTCGTTAACTTTCCCATGACCAACTCATTTATGGCAGCKGCAAAGCACTCGCAGATCCATACATATGCGCACTTACGAGTCAACACATCACACGTCCTATATAATGGCTGTGTAAACTTACAGGGAAGTAAGGATAAATATTTCCATATATGTGTGCGCGTATGTCAGCATGACGCACTCCACGCTCATGCCAAATGTTTCATTCATGGCGCCGTACATCTGTGCACACATACATAGTATGCATATGAGGAATTATTATTGACAAATGATTTTGACGCAAAGAAGGAAAGCAAAATAACTTAGTTATGAGCAGTGAATTAACTAAGCGGTGTATGGAGTGCAAGCTTCTTTAAGGACCGGTTTAATTTTGAAGCTTTGTAAGTACAGTATAAAAATTAGAAAACTTGAAACAATWTTTTATTGCAACCACCGTCTGGCAACGACTGAAAATTTTGCGAGATTAACAAATATATCCTTTATACTGRAACCTGCCAGTATTGAGTTGCAATTTTTATGAAATTGCGGATTACATAACCTTTATGAAAGACGATTTATGTACTTTTGTACTTATGCAAGACCTAATYCAACTACTAACAGCCCAGGTTCAGCCTGCTTTCCGCTGCACTTAAGCAACTTTTGTACATACATACGCGCGAATATTCCCAAAGCCGCCAACGTGTGCGGATGTGGCCCCTTGGCTTAATTATTATTAAGTGTCCAACTATTTACAAGTAAGGGAATAATTTATGAGCCCAACCCGTACTTGGCTGCAGTGGAGAAAGTTTTAAGGCGAAACAAAGAGAAGCTGGCCCGAATAGAATGCCGAAAAAGACGGCGCTCCTTATACCCTTTGTTCTAGAAAATAATAAATACACACAAGTTTTTAACCATTTATGTGTGCTGGCTACATATAACACGCGTGTGCATATATGAGAAGACTCGATGAGTGGYATCCAGTTCCCTTACGTTCCTGTGTGTTTACGGGCAGGAATGCTCGCAAATTACCATTGTGTTAGTGCTAATTACTGAGTTATACCAACGCGAAGCTACTGCAGAGCACAGTGCTTGGCGAGGCTTTTAGAGACGATTATAAGGGGGGTAAAGGAGCGTTGCTTACATAAATCGCAAGCCAACTAATGAATGGGCAAGACACTACAGTGAGGTACAGTTAATTGGTCGAAAGTTCATTAAGAAGTGTGGCCAAAATTTTTGCCGAAATCCCTATGTTCATGAAAGCTGCAACAAAATAAAATCGCTGGGAAAGCACGTGCGGCGCGGTGTATGCGTAACATTGCACTTTGGAGCGCGTTGGCCGCGCGCTTTTAAATTTGTCGGTTGCGACATTTAATTTCTGCTCGTTACCTTTTAAATTGTGTCCATTTGTGGCCATTATTTTTTATGTGACAATTCGTTAAACAAATGCATGAATRCGGACTAAAAAGAATTAAACAGATTAACAAATAAATTAACTTTTGTTTGCTATGCTTTTTTGTCTTATTTATTTGCCGCTGTAGTGGCCGCGAATTGCATTGTCTCCCTTGCAATTTTGCTTCATTGCCGCTTCAGCTCATCTGCGTAAGCGTGCGCATGTGCTCATTGCAATTTTGTAGTAATTCATAGTGCGAAAAATCCCATTTATTTTAATTGCCGCCATTTTTTTGTTCGCCAATAGCATTGTTGCGGTCGAAGTTTGAGGTTTTCACTACAGAAGTGTAGTGTGTGGAAAGTGAAACAGCGAAAAAGCCAAGGCACAAAAATGCATAGCGGCGCGGATGTCCGTGTGTGTGTTACAGGCTTCTATTTGCTTTCAAATAGCCTGTTTCGGGCTAACCGAACGCAAATTTGTTTTAATGTGATGCGCGTTTTGTGCTTTGCGCCCTTGGCTATTTTAATGTTGTTTGCCAAAGTTCTTACCACCAACTCTTTTTTTCAGTTGTCGTGTGTGTAGCGCAACGAATTGTTGCACGCGTGATGCCGTTTGACTTTTTGTGGTGGCCGCTGAATGCCACAAAAAATTGGCATTTTTTATTATCACCAGTTCATGCCCAGTTTTGTATGTGTGCCATGTAATTGTTGTGTGCGCGTGAGTATTCACAAAGTTAATTTGCATAATTTAMCGCTTTGTGCAACTATACAATGAGTCTTGGAAACCAAATAAACGGTGCATGTTGGTAGATAATTAAAAGATCTCACTACGAATAATATACTTGCAGACGATTTGTTAGTCTTCTCGATCAGTTTCAGGAAAAAGGTTGATTACCGGGTTCGGCAAAAGAAAGAAGAATTTGTTGGTTGGTTATTTGTATGGAGTAAAAATAGGTCTCCAGTGCCTYGCCTTCATCACCGATACCGAATCAACCAATATGTTGTTAGCTAGAGTTTTTCATGTTTATRCTTGCGTAGGGATTTCTGCACAAACAGGTACATATTCAAATGCTTTTGGAAGTTACAGTTAGTGCAAATGCATGCCGAATAACTGCAATCAACTTCCGATCAGGRACTGCAGCAAGACCAAGTGTTTTTGATTGGTACAAATCACTTCCAGAGAGTCGAGAACGCGTTGACAGCGGTCCACGTCATAGATCGACATCAACGACGTGAAAAAAAATAAAATAATTTGTGCTTGAGAATCGAAAATTTACAATCAGAGATCTTACTGGTAGCGTTTGAATATCGGAACGACCGTTGAAAACCCATTTAGAAGATCATTTGGGTTCCAAAATCACTAAATTTTCTCGAAAAACGGACTCGCGTTAACGTCTTTGAAACAAAGCCTTCCGATTACCAGGATGTCATGAAAAGTATTACTACTGCCGATGAGTCTAGGATCTATGTATATGACCCGAAAATAGACGATCGATTAATCGGCCGAATTTCGTGGCAAAGGTGAGCCGAAGCYTTTACAGCGCAAAGGAGGTCAAGGTTATATTGACAGTTTTCTTCGATATTGAGGTGGGGAGCACTTTGAATTCCTTCCGACCGACCACACTGTCAAAGAATAATAATTGAGTGTTATGTTTTTTTTTTTGTTTTTTTTTTTTGGTTTTTGCACCCCGATGCAAACCAGTATGCATTCTGCATTGATTCTTCGTGACTGCTCCGTGTAAGTCAATTGAGGACATTAAACGTGAATCGCTATGCGGATTGAAGGGTATTCTGGGAATTGGCTTTAAAAACTGTTTCGAGGTTTGGAAAAAACGTTGGCACAAGTGYATTGGGGCCAAGGTGGCTYACCTTGAGKAGGGCGGCATAGATTTTTAAAAATAAATTAGATATTTGAAAATTATGAACAACGTCTTACTGAGAAAGTACAAACTATTAAAGCTCAATATAATATCTAAAATAGCAGAGGTTTAATCCAACTAAAGAACCAGAGATCAAATGGAGTTTGCAATGGAAAAATGTGCAAAAACAAAATTAAAAGATATGTACAAGGGATTAATCAATATTTCGATATGTGTGCATATATATACAATATTTACATATTTGGAGCGCTATTTACAAATGTTACTGAAGGCCAGTCGATATAATATTGGTATAATTTGAGGGGTTGCGGGCTCAGTAGTTCTTGCAGGCGTTAAGTCACTGTACAATGTTTAATAATCTTGCTCCGAACTGACTGACTCCTCGTTTGTGTATTTGTATTTTAGTTGGTAACCGCTTTTAATTTAGTTTAATTTGTAATGCGTAAAATGGCAACTGCTGTAATTACCTGGTTGGCTGGTGCAACTGGCTGCTGTTGTGGCTGTTGAAGTGGCTGCTGCTGCTGCTGCCAGTGTTGTGGCTGCTGCTGCTGTTGTCCTGGCTGTTGTTGTAGCGAGCCTGACACCGGATAGTGGCCAGAGGTTGGTTGGGGCGTGAATTCCCTAACAACGCGCTCCTCGGATACGGGCGGCCAAGCAACGCGCTTATAACCTGGGGGAGAGAGAGAGAGAGAGCGCGATTAAAAACTGTTTTGGCGACATAAAATATTCCCGAAAATGCTTTTTATAATGATACGGTGCCATAATGAACTAAGGACATAACAAGTGCTTTGTGTGTATGTTTTCATGAGTGTAAGGAGCTAAAACGATGAGTTCTATATTTTCATTAATTACAAAGAAGACCAAGTCTCTAAAAGGGTCCCGCATTCAAAAGTCTTCGTGCTAATACTATGATATGTTACAGTGGAAAATACATACCAAACAAAAAAAAAAAAAAAAAAAAAAATTGGAGAAGTAATGGTAATTGTGTTAGTTCTGGCTTTTGTTTCGTTTTGAGTAAAGAAATTTTTTAATCTTTTTACGCTGCTTTTGTATATTGGTAGCAGATACACTGATATGTTTTTCACTCTTCAGCGCAAATGTTGTGCAAAAAAAAAAAAAGCATTGAGGAACCACTAAAACAAAATATTTGTAACTGGATATCTCGCTTGTCGCTCAGCAAGGAAGCAGCTTGAAAAGCTGCCTTTGCCAGTCATGTCACTCACGACGGACCAGTGACCAAATTGCGCTCGCAAAAACTGTGTTTGGGTAGACTGATGTCCTACAATATCAGCTAGTCCTTTGTGCTGGTAATTGTTGTTGTTGTCTTTTGATGTGGCAAAATTCTTTTTTCATGTTCAATTGCTTTAAAAGCTGCCCTTCGCACGCAAATTCATTAGTTTTTACCCCAAGAATATTTCAATTCGGTTTTGCCGTTATGTGTTTGTTGTTACTGAGAACGCTAGTTTCAGATTTAGATTTCTTGATTTGATTTTTTTTTTTTTTGCTACAAATTTGTGATATTTTTCTTATCAGAGATACCCCTGTTCTAACTCGAGTTAATTTAATTTTTTCCTTCCATTTTCCATTTCCATTCTCTGTTTTCATTTGCATTTAACTATAAGTGTGCTTACAATTTACAATTATGCATTTCGGTTTCGGAGGGTCATTCGCATTCCCACAAATATTTTAGTTCGAAAGCGCTTGTGAATAACATGCTTCCTCGGAAYTCTACTACCGTTCGAATGGATAGTTTTGTAAGCAAATTAAATGATGTGACATAAATACATATATCTTTATATGAATGTATGGGTCAGAGGTAACCCTGACGATCACTTGTTTTGAATGACGAATACTTTAAAAAGCACTTTTGGGCGGGTAAAGTGGCTTTGGTTTAGCGCAAAGTGTGTTCCAGAAAAGTTTTGCGYCCCAAAAATTCATAAATTTCTATTATTTTGGCTGAGAGCGGAACCAGAGCAATTAGTTCAATTCGGATATAAATAAGTAGCGCCATTAATTAGTTAAGCGTCGCTAATAAATTCTTCGATATTGGCATTTCACTTAAATTTATAAACCATTAATAGGAATTTATGATTTAACGCACACATATGTATATACATGTTATGAATTATGGTATATGCGCTTTGGGCCATATATGTTATAACAYAAACACACACACACACTTATAATAATTAACGGATATAATAACTGTTTCATTGCAATTATAACCACAAGGCCAGTGTAGCAGTAAACAAAGTGCAAAGAAACGTATGAATTACCGGAAAATAAATCGATTGCTTTGTTGTAATTAAAGTGAGAGTTCAAGTGAAGCGCGCACGAAAATGTACAAGGAGACCACGAATTGCAACCCCAACCGCATTTCAGCAACTCTGTGGCGGTCATAAATTCCCCATAAATTCGAGGCGGACGCAACGTCAATACACTTACAGCGCACATTCCTTACATATGTGTGATTTATGGCATTGGCGGGCAAGGTCGCCGTTGGCTAAAGGTACGTGCGCGCACTGTTGTTAAATACATCGGACGTGTAAAAAATGCACATTCGTTGCTGCCAAGYAGAAGCTAACTACTCCACCCAAAATATGAACCAAATATGAATATGTAAGGGTACGTCTCCCRGTCGTACTGAAGTGTGTGAATAAAGCATTGATGGTACAAAACTTCTAACGGCATCCATACTATTTATTGGCAACATAATGTTAATATGTGTTTTTTATTTATTTTTTTTATTTTTTTTTTTTTTTATGGATGTTAATATGTGTGTGCATGTTCATATGTATATGAATAGGGTCTGATTTCTTAATTTGTTGTTGAGAACTGTCGTTACAATGCAATCCATTTTTATTATTTTTCTAAACTACATACATATGTATATTGTAGAATTTAGTATACATAATGTTTCGTCGCTATAGTTCAGAAATGWAAAAGTGGTTATCCGTCTCCGATTGGTTTTAATTTCACTGATTTGCGTAGATCCAAATGTTCTGCATAATTTAGCATCTTCAACTCCCTGGTTAGACCTTGGTTAAGGATACTTAAATAAGAATTCCCTGACCCAATCAGAATCCCATTTGAAGCGAACTATCTAATTTGTTGTTTGTTGTTTTTTCAGCGCGTTTTCACTTGGTGTGAATACCTGTTGYTGTCCGACTATTAGACGAGAATTTATGCTTACAGCGCCCTTGTGGCGCCAGCCTACCTACAGACCTGCGTTTCCTCCTAATTTTKTTTTTGTTTTTCTTGTTTTGCAGTCATAAAGAAATGCTTATTATTAGATTTGCAGAATTGTGAGGCACATAAATCGAAGAAACCGTTCGAAAGTAGTTGCGTGGGCCAAAGCGCCAAAATACAAACATTTTTGGCAGGCAATTACGCATTTTTCTTCAAATTTGTTTGCGCATTGAAATCGGCAAAATAAACGTTCTTTTGGCTTGCCRTTATTAAAGGCAATAAATTGTGCGCCTAGCAAGCGTTTATACTAGCATATAAATGTTGCATGAACAATAAAAGATTTTGCGGATGCTCGGCTCATGTAATAAAAAGCTATTTGCATTGGCATTTGGATATGCGAAATCAACCGTTATACCGCACATATAAACACATTTGTAAATGCCTACGGAATGCTTATTTTTTCAAATATAATTTTTAAGTATTAATTTATGATTAATATTGTGTGTACGTGTGCAGAAAACTAAGAACCAGRCAATAAAAGGCACGCTGCTGGTTCCTTACATGCGCTCACAGAAGTAGGAAACAGAAGTAGGTACAATGCGGCTCAAATTAATGGGTGCARCACATAATAGAAGTAATGGAATTGTGGATTTTCACAAAATATTTAACGGAGGTATATGGAAGTATTTTTGTGCGAAATAATCTAGTAATCGGTTTTTTCTTATTCATGTTCTATCAGACAGATTATGATGCATCTTTAACCTAATTTGGTGAGCTAGAAAAGGCAGATGAAGGAAAATTTGCATTTTAACATTTTTTCTTGTTCAACTGATGCTGAAATCGAAGTTATAGTGCAAATAGAAAACTTGGGTGGGATTTATTCAGCTTAGCGACAGTGTAAATGTTATAAGAGTATACAAAAAAGACAGACATACATACAAATAAATATTTGATAGTAAGATGTTGACTGTAGTTTTGTACAAGCTTAAAACCTTGTAATCACATACCAATACAAGTATGAAGTGAAAGTTGGGAATCATACTGTATACGTCACAGAAATCTTCAAGTGAAAAATTCAAATGCTATGAGGGCAACGCGGCCCAAGATTTCCCGTCGATCACAACTCGCTGCGGAAAAGCTTTAAAAAGCAATTTACTTAATATATGCTGTAGCTATTTAGTCAARGCGTTTGTTATGATAGCTGTATTTTAGCGACAGCAGCGCATTGATTGCCATATCACTTTGCGGATGCTCAACCGAATTAGACTCAAAGTGTAGGCACAGAAACGGTACAGCTATGCCCAGAAGTGGCGCACGTATACCAATCATTCATACGCACACGCCACGCAACAAATGGACGCTGCAAACAGCGCACGCCAAATGCCGTGCGCTCGCCTAACATAATCCCGACAGCTATAATAGCATTACCTGACATATATATGTTTACGCATGTATGTGTGTGGCCACGAGTAGCTGGCTGACGGTGTGAGTGTGTGTGCATATCGCAATGAATGTTATTGTTCGAATGAACGAATGAATGAATGAATGCCTGGGCGAATGAGTGAAATGCCTAAGAGTGGTAATTTGCGGATATCCGTTTTGTTTTCATATCGATGAACGTGCCTGGTGCACAAATGTGCGAAAATTCATAGYAAATGACTGGCTGCAAAGCATGCTGGCTGCTGTCAATACGGTCGATTGCTAGCGTTTGTTTGYGCGTGTGCGCCTATCRGCATAGGAGGCACGTAGGCTGGCCAACACCTTGTACGCGCGACCAACGCCGCAGACAAGCAGACCAACAAAGCTAAATGTTAAGTACGCTTGCGTGTGTGTGTGTGAGCGTGTAACCGCAACTAGCTAGCTGCTCGTTTACGGCACAGCATCTCCTGCTATTTGAGGTATGAACACGTGCGCATTCATACACCAATAGGCATTAAAGGATCACGCTCATTTGTGGCAACTGCAATGAGGGCGATGCTGTGTAGGCTTTGATAGACGAGCATACAGCGGCGCTTACATATTGGCTGGCGTACATTTTAATGCATGACCATTGGAACACGGCTGCAGTGCCAGCTTGTGGCCCTTAACGGCTTTTCGACCTTTCATTTTCATTTAATTTTTACGCCACCATTTGTTTTCGTTTCGCCCTTGCACTCGCACCTTGCCGCCTCGCCAGCGCTATGAATCCCCAAGTAAATATAAACCATGTTTATTGTGTGCACACTGGCTTTCCGTTATGTTGCGTATGCGTGCGGCTATGTGCTTGCGTGTCTTCAGGTGTAAACGAATCGAAACTTACACGTCCAGCGGCACATAATACATAATGAAATTACCCAAACAYACATACATACATACATACATAGCAGTACGACGGTATGTGCGCGCGCTTGTTTGGCATTAACGGAAATTAATATTGATTGATGTTAAATTCAGTTAACGTTCACAGCTACCAATGTGGCCCCTAGGCTAAAACARACGCCG